AACTAACTAACAACAACAAACAACTACTACTACTACACACACACACACAAATATATATATATATATATATATATATATATATATATATATATATACTTCAATACTAACAAGTTTGCTCCAGAGGTATACATACGGGAGTGGGGTTAGCGGTTGGGGTCACCCACAGTACCATAGGCAGTTTCTTGCCGTTCAGAACGATACCAGCAGCCAGCACCTAGAAAAATAATAAGTGAATAAAAAAACTTGCAGGAATAAGGACTGCTATAGTAGTGGCATGAAGCAAGGTAGGAAAGAGATAGCAGTAGTAGAACACTAAGGCAGTCTGTCGAACATCAATAACATAGAGATCTATGCCATGAGAAATAACACACACACACACACACACACACACATATATATATAATTCCAAACCATTATATAAATACAGTACAGTACCCAGTCAAGGAGCTACATGTTCATGCCACATATGCTCGACGGTTGCAGGACATATCTCCGCTAATAACGCTTGCAAGGTGTAGGTGACGCAATATGTCCTTTCATCTTGCAAAAATACTGTGCTTACATACACATACGTAGATATACGTACACATAAACTCGTACACATATGCAGATATACGTACACGTATACTCATACTCGTGCATAGACATTGCTGATACCAAGTGGATTGATACAACCAATACATCCACCCACACATTGGAATACCCCATACACTCACCTTCGCGCACGACTCCTTCATAGCGTAGCTAGCCACAATGCCCTTCCCGCGCACAGTCATGGCACTCTCCTGCGCCAAAGGACCGAACTTCAGAAGCATCTGTCTCAGCTGTTCGATATCCTCCGCCGAGCTCACCCCACTGATATATATACTATTACTGGTAACCAATGGATTAGCACTCACAGTCCGGGCCATAGGCTTCACATGTGCCTGTGCAGCAGCCTGCATGGGTGTCTGTTGCGCCGTTTGTGGTGTGTTTGTGGGCGTATATGTGCGGGGTGGTTGGGCGGGGGGGTCTACTGGGGCTGCGTGGGGGGTATCTGTGGGGGTCTCGGAATTGCCCTGCGCGATGGCATTCAGCTCGTTGTCCAGCTGCAACCGCTTTAACTCGTCCGATGCTAGCACAGCAGCACTCCTGTATGTCGACTGTGACAGGAGAGCCAGAAGTGAGGACAGTGGTATGAATTGGATTTGTGCAATTATTATAACGATGAGCCCAAGGAGGGACAGCACTCCTATTCGTCGACTGTGGTATATATATATATATACATACAAATATATAATCATATATATAATATTATACACATATTTAAATGCCCATATATATATATATATATAGAAATATAGAAATATATATATATATTATACATACATATACATACATATACATATATACAAATAAATTCAGAAGATGACTGCAATACCTGTTTACGTGACCCCGGCAGTGGTTGATTGAGAGCAGCGTATGCACTTGCAACAGGCGGCAATGGTGCGGGTGTAGGTTTTTGCGCAATTGCTGCACTCTTCCGTATCTCCATTTGTTGTCGCAGCTAAATATACGCAGAAAAGAAGGCGTTAGGCCAAAGAAAGAGACCAAACACACTTATACATGTCGAATGGCAACCCCTCAAACAAACGGCATACTTGCCGCATGGTTCAATACGTTCACTTGCTGCTGCGGATAGTATACGAATCAATACATTCGCGTTAGACACATAGACAGTAGTCCGTACACGCCCTATTTTATACAACTTGCTGCACTATACTGTATCATCATTAGCAGCCTTAGTTGGTGTATATATGCATACACAATCCACTATGCTGTATCATCATTAGCAGCCTTAGTTGGTGCATATATGCATACACAATCGTTAGCCGGACAAAACGCTCTCTCTTCTCTCTTCGAGGGCAATCGCCCCAGCCCCACAAGACTACAACCTATGCAACGGTCAACTCAGTACCGAACCAGTCCTGGTGGGTGCAAATCAGGGCCATGCCGGTGCACCTCGGGTGCAGAAACAGGGCTTACACTAAGCAGTTTTAGGACACACACCTTCTTCATCTCATCCACGAATCCCATGAGTTTCTTCATGGCCTCCTTCTTGGCTGTCTTGTCCATGGTCGCAATCTCAGCCATTAACGTCTTCTGTTGGCTCAGTAGGTTAGCGATCCGGTCCTTAGTCAGCTGTGTGGCAGCGCAGGCAAAGGTATACGAAGACGTCAATACGGCATACAGACATGGGATGGGGCGGTTGTACACATGCAAAGTATATTCCGAGGCATGCATAGACACGCTGATGCACCCATAAACACACAGACTAGGGCTCTATGGTGTACTATATGTACAGGTGAATGCATGCATTGATACGCTGACCCACCCATAAGCACACAGACTAGGGCTCTATGGTGTACTATATGTACAGATGAATGCATGCATAGATCACGGTGATGCACCCATAAACACACAGACAAGGGCTCTATGGTGTACTATATGTACAGATGAATGCATACATAGTCAGACGCACTCTCACCAAGATAAACATCCCTTTATTGCACCGTACATATAGCATAGACATGCGCAAACGCACCTACAACCACCCACATACGCTCCAATGACATCGTACACCCAACAAACACGAGCTAAAACCCTAGTGCCCCAGAGCTCGGCGTATACCTCATTCAGTCGATGCTGTGTGGTGGCAGCTGCGGTGGCTTTGGCTGCCTTGAGGGCCTTGAACTCCGCTATCTTCTGTGCGGCAAAGTCCTCTTGCGCTTTTTTCTGTTGCGCCTCCCACGCATCGATCTCTTCCTGTGTGTACTCGGGTTCGACCCATTCGGTGTGGTTGCCATGGTTACCTCTCCAGCCGCCGGCGTTCTGGTTGCCTGTGGGTGTCGGTGAATACGCAGGAATGAGGGATGGCAACTGGTAGAGTAGGTGGGGCGTTGGGTGTACTGTGCCCGTTATTAGGGAGGGCATGCAGAATACAAGAGGTAAGACGATAAAAACATGCAGCATGTACTACGGAAGACGTTGGAGGTATGCAGAATAAAATAAGCAAGACATTAAAAACATGCAGAATAAATACGGAAGACATTAAAAACATGCAGAATATGATATGCAAGACATAAAAACATGCCCAATAGAATAAGCAAGACGTTAAAAACATGCAAAATACACTGCGTAAGACGTTTAAGATTTTTAAAAAACATGCAAGGGATTATAGGCTAACTTTCATCGCACCAGAACAGCACACACCATCGAATGCCAGCTTTCAATCACAGTGAGGACACAATACATTCCTTCAGCCACAGTGAGATCACCTGTCATACATTCAGCCACAGTGAGGTCACCTGACATACATTCAACCACAGTGAGGTCACCTGACATAGATTCAACCACAGTGAGGTCACCTGACATAGATTCAACCACAGTGAGGTCACCTGACATAGATTCAACCACAGTGAGGTCACCTGACATAGATTCAA